GAGCGCGGCAATGATTGGTCTCGGGGGAGGGGTGGGGGGTTGCAAACCCGAGGAGCGGTGGCATCCGTTGCATGATGCAAAAAGGATTGATTTCAAAAGTTGCGAGTTGCATTGGCAGCAGCCTTTGGCGCCCGGGCCACCTACTTTTCCTCGACCCGCCGGAAGGGCCGGGAATGTTTTCCAAAACCTGGCCGGGCTCCACCGCGCTACACCCTGCGGGACGCTGTACCTGCTCCCCGAGCGCCGCCGTCGTTTCGTACTGGGAGACAATGACCGTGGAAACAGTTTCAAAAAGAGTAGGAGCAGAGGAAAAGCCGCCTCTGCTGCGAGGGAAGATTTAAAAACATAAACGGCGCGTCTGATTAATAGTGACTTGTGTCGTCTCTCCCTTCTATTGTTTTAGCCTGGCTCAGGAGTTAACGTGAGCCTCACTGGATGTGCAGACGTCCTGCAAAGTTTCTTGAATGTTCAACGTGCTTGGGAGGGAGTCCGAGCTCAAGGTTCCTCAGTTACATTGTTTGCTCTTCACATGTCCAAGTAAACATGGCAGCCTAATACTGTGTGTGTTTGAATTAACACTGATAGGACAGCTTCAGCTTGCGAAAGTGCTTTCTTCGGGTTTTCAACTCTCGGAGGCACTGCCGATGAAAGTAAAGCAAAATGCTTTCATAACACTACGTCTTTTAGGGCTTCCCTCAAAACCGAGGAGTGTGGAGGAATGCCGACGAAACTTTGCTCGGGTGGTTCGGCATTTTCTAACTGGGTTTTGGGGGCAGGGATGTTTTTGGTAACCGAAAGGTGCTTTATGTTGCGGGTCAGATCTGCGGGCTCTGCAGATGCCCTTTTTCATTCTTAAAATTTCTGCCGGACAATTCCTCGGGGTGTCAATCTTGGTGAGGAGGCAGAAGTGATGCAACGAAGCCGACCGGCTGATGCAGGCTTTTCTGCGCTGTGGTTTTTTTCTGTGTGCCTCTACAGGAAGTTAGGGAAAAACATAGTAGCCCGGATTCTCCGATGTGAATTGTTGGACTTTTTTCTTTTCTTTTCTTTTCTTTTTTTTTTTTTTTAAGAATGGCACGGCCCTGTGGTTGGCAAACCTGGATCCGCATCTGCATCACCTGGGAAGACGCCTGTATGCACACCCCAGACCTCCAGACCCGTGAACGGAGGATGCAGATACCTTTAGTCCTCGCATCTCCTCCCTTTTAAGATTGATTTTGTGAATCGTTGTGGGGTTTGGGTTTTGTTTGTGCGTTTTTAATTTTTTGTTTTAGTCAAAGTCACAACTAGAAAAAACAATTTGGGGGGTTAGGGGCAAGGTGAGTGGGGCCCTACATGAAGATCATGTGTCATGCTGAGGAGTTTGGCATTTGTGCCGTAGGCAGCAGAGTTTGTCAGATTTGTTTTTTTTACAAGTTGAGCTTGTAGAAAAGGCTGCACCTCATCTGGGAGGATGCCGACTCCTGGAGGGGAAAACGGGGCCACATCTCTAATTAGCAGGTAATTGTAGTAGTCGAGCATGGAGTTGAGGGTATTTGAAATGAAGCAGCGGGAATGTGGACAAAAGAGAGGAGTGGAGGTGATTTAGTGTGTGGTTAGAGGAACAAGCATAAGATGACGCCCAGATTTCTAGTTTGGGGGGGGTCTGGGTGGGTAGTGATGCTAACTGAAATGGAAACTATGGGAAGGCAAACAAGTGTAGGGGCGAGTTCGGCTTTGAAAATGTGAAATTTCAGGCACCTGCCAGATAGTCTAGGCTGAATGCAATGGGTCACACAAGAGCTGGCGCTTGGGGTGGGGGTGGGCTCTGAGTTTGAGATGCAAATGTGGGACCATCAGCATGTAAATGGAGTTTCTAGCCTCGGAAAGAGGTGGGATTAACCGGGAAGGAGAATTGTGGAGGAAAGTGAAAGAGACCTTGGACAGAGCCCTGCGGGGCTTCCTTGTGGAATGGCTGGCGGAGCAAGAAACTGATCCGTGCAGAGTCTGTGGG